TCTCTATATATATATATATTCTCATTTTGCTCATGCATGGTTTTCCTTATTTCCTTTAGTTCTTTGTCTATGTTTTATTTTAGTTCTTTGAGCTCGTTTAAAACTGTTTATTATATGCTTCTATTATGTTCATTATTTGGGTTTCCATCAATATGGTTTCTTCCCCTTTGTCTTATTCACTTGAATGGGCCCTTATTTTTTTTCTCTGTGTACCTTGTGATTTTTTGCTTAAGCAAAAAAATTTTCACAAGATGTTGGCTTTCCCGATTCCCCCCAGTTATATGGTGCTTTCAACAGTGAACATTTTTGCAAAAAACTCTTAGGAGGTCACTGTCTTCAGACTTTGATTGCTTATCCCTCTCCTTCCCTGTGGTATCTCCAGCTCAAGCCAAGGTTTCAGTTTTTCAGAGGCTCCCAGACAGATCTGAAAACACACACTATTCATTCCACCCTCGGAGTGGGGCAGCCTTTAGTCTTTGGGTTACTACTCTCTCCTCTACCCAGTGAGGGTACCATACCAGGAGGGTAAGGGGCAGGGACATCTTAAACATTCACCTGGGAGATCTGTGCTGTTAGAATTGGAACCAGAGAGCAGGAGAACTTCCAAGGGTGCAGATGATCTGTGCACTGGCTGGTGGTGCTGAGCAACTGCCAGGCCACTGGAGCCATCCTTCTGCCATGCTGGGGACACCCTGAACATATCACCTGGGAGATCTGTGCTTTAGTTTCAGAGACAGAGATCAGGGGCCCTTCCTGGTGCTCAGGTAATTTGTACACCAGGTGGCAGTGTCAGGTGGCTGCTGGGCCACTGGGACTATTCCTCTGCCACACTGGGAGGGCAAGGGGTCGGGACAGTGGAAGAAATTATTTTCCTACCATATGATTCATCCTCATCTTTATTTCATTTTTAGTTCCTTGCTGGTGTTCTTGGTGTATCGTTTCGGATTTCTTAAAGGGCTGAATACGGGATTCTGGTTGCTTTTACTGATGTTTTTGGGGAGAAAGTTGAGATCTTAGATCTGTTCATGCTGTCAACTTCCCAGACTCCCCCAACAGTGCATCTCTTGTAAGCAGCATATTTAAAAAGCCAATCTGGTATTCTTTTTAAAATGTGGTGTATGTTATAGATTGAATTGTGTCCCCCCCCCACGCAAAATATGTGTTGTGAGTCCTAAATCCCTATAGCAATGGATGTAATTCCATTTGGAAATAGGACTTTCTTTGTAACGTTAGTGAGACCATACCAGTGTAAGATGTGCCTTATGCCGATCGCCTTTGAGATATAAAAACAGCAGATTGGGCATAGTGAAGGAAGCACAAATGGAGGGGAAGATACACACCACATGAAGATTACCAAGGAACTGAGGAACAGAAACTGAATAGAGACAAGGATCATCCCCCAGAGCAAACAGAAGGAGAAAGCCTTCCTCTAGCCGATGCCCTGAATTTGGACTCCTAGCCTCCTAAGCTTTCAGAAAATAAATTTCTCTTTGTTAAAGCCACCCACTTGTGACATTTCTGTTACAGCAGCACTAGATAACTAAGACAGTACAATTACTGATAAATTTGGGTTTAAATCTACTATCATGTTAATCATCTTAACTGCGGTTTCTATTTATCTCCTTATTTTATTTTGGATTAAATATTCTTTATCATTGCATTTTCCTGTCTATTAGTGTTTGAAGCTGCTAAAAAAAATAAAATAAAATAAAACCTCATTGCCGTCGAGTCCAACTCATAGCAACCCTATAGGACAGAGTAGAACTGCCCTGTAGGGTTTCCAAGGAGCAGCTGGTGGATTTGAACTGCTGACATTTTGGTTAGCAGCCAAACTCTTAACCATTGTGCCACAAGGGCTCCCTTAAGACTTCTAGTAGGAATAAAACAAACCCAAACCAAACGAAACCAAACCCATTGCCATCAAGTCGATTCCAACTCACAGCGACCCTATAGGACAGAGTAGAACTGCCCCATAGAGTTTCCAAGGAGTGCCTGGTGGATTCAAACTGCCAACCTTTTGGTTTGCAGCCATAGCTTTTAACCACTATGCCACCAGGGTTTCCAGGGATAAAACAAGGTGGGATCAAACAGAGTCCGACTGCTCTTCAGAAGCACCTGGGATTCTGTTAATATGCAGATTTGGGGTTCTCACTCCAGAAGTACTGAATCAAAATGTGGGGCGGGAAACAGGCAAGCTGTATTTTTTAAGCTCTGTAGGTAATTCTGATGGATAGCCAGTTAAACCACCAACCTAGACCATATTTCCTCCTACACTTTGCAGGATAGGTACAAAAAACATGGCCAAAAAAATGCCTTTAGAACAAGCCCCCTTTCTTAGCACTTCTACAGTCCCTCTACAGGGCTCCAAATGTCATGATCCAGGTTAGCCTCTAGTCTACAAGTTAGCGCTGTCTACATTGTGCACAGCCAAGAGGATCACCCAGTCAGGTATGGGGTTGTCAGCCAGGCCCAGCCTATCCCCTACTTGCCTAGTAGTTCAGTTCTCCTCACTGTTTCCCCTCTAATTCCTGGGAGGGGCATTTCTGAAAGATGGCAAGTCTTTGTTTCCACTACACAGTGAATCAGCAATTATCTCTAAGAAGTCAAGCAATGTGTGTGTTTAATCTATTTAATCACCATGCACGCAGGACTCTTATTTTTGTTTTATTATAAGTTATTCTTTAACATTACAATGGCATCGTGGATTACATTTTTATAAAGCCATTCTGGCATGGTCCTGAGCCCTTGTTTCCTGTAGAAAGAGAGGTAACTTTTAAAATTTAACCACAAAACCCCAAAGGATGTCACAAAAATGCAAATTTAAACTGCAATTTTACCTTCAATATTCAAATGAGAGGAAAAAAAAAAGTAAACGATTTTTTACTTTAAGCAAGATATTTAGCAAAGACAAGACCAAAAGAATCAAGGAAAAAAAAAAGTATGTTAACTGGAAATAAAAATAATAGCTTAATGTGACCTTCTTCCTCCAAAATAATAATAACAATAATAATATAATATTTATGTCAACAGTATGTCCTAATGTGAAGGGAGGGTTTTTCAATGTACAATATCACATTATACATCTAATGTACATGTTATTGTAGTCAGAAGATATCATGTAGAAAAATGTTGACACTTGTTTTTCTGTTGTTCCAATGATTCCTCAAAAAGATTTTGTTGGGGAAAAGAATTCTGAAGGTTTTAAAAATATCTTTTTATTAAAAAACAAAAACTCAGAAATCCTTACTGTGTACCGTGCTCTTCTCCACTTGTTGGGCCTGTGTGTATAGTTTCCAGTCCCAGTGATCTTACCTCCTATTTGGCTTTATAATGAGGCCCTTGAGCAAAAATCGAGTGAAGATATAAAATCTGACCAAAATATATTAGCCTAGGAGGAAGCCTATTCTGCTCAGGCTCTTCCTTTGAAAGACTCTGTCTCTCCTCAGGCAGCAGAAACCTAAGTGTTCCCTGAGGCCTACCCTGCCCCACTGTGCTCAGATATGCCCACTGACGGGGAGGAGGCTGCAGAGGGCACTGGAGGATGCGTTCAAGTCTTCCCCACTCACCTCCTTCCTGGAGAGCAGGGAGATCCGGCTACTGACTCACCAGCTCTGATCCAATCCTTCCAGAAAGGTAGGCAGCTCAAGCAGCTATCATGGAATCTAGCATATGTCCTTTGATATTTTTGAGGGGTATCATCCAGGCCTTTTTTGTTTTGTTTTACTGGTATGTATTTTGATTTGGCTGGGTAACACAGACGAAATAATGTAGCATCCTCTTTCTGTTTCCAGTATTTTCCTTTGGCCAGGCAATGCACATGCATTTCATCCATCCTTCAGAGGCTCAAGCTGCTGAGGTGGCTCTCTGAGCTTCATGGCCTGGGTCAGACCCCCACCCAAGAAAGGCCCCCAGGCGGGCCCTAGAGACAGCTGTGTAGCTCTGCTGGCCTGAAGGAGGGGCTCACTGCAGTAGCAGGAAGCTTCCCTCTTAGAGTGGAAAAAAGTGAGAGACCGGCAAAAGAAAGGATTGGGGTCTAAAATTTTCTTCCCTTGGCTGTGGTGCCTGAAGGAGGAGAATTCCAGGGAAATTCGAAAATTATCCTTGGGATGCTAACAACTAAATAGTTACCAAATAAAATGGAAACAGACTTCTGGGGTATCTGCACTTCCAAGGTATCTCCAGACACATTTAAAAGGAAAGGAAATGTCTTTTGCTTCATGCCCATTAGGGCCAAGTTTGGCCAGGTCTCCCTCTCACAAACACCTGGAATCACGGTGGAAAGAGGGTTACCAGCAATAATAATACTTTACAATTGATAGTATTCAATGTGCACTTTCACTTCTATTATCTCATTTGATCCTTACTACAACCCTGTGAGGTAGGCAGGGCAGGAATTATTATTCTCATTGTTTAGATGAGGCACTGAGGCTTGCAAAGTTAAAACAAATACTGCCCGTGGCAGGATGTGGCCCATGAGCCCTGCAAGTCTGGTCTCGTGGTTTGGTCCTTCTGTCACTATTCTTTACCACATCTGACTCATTTTTGGAAAGTGAGCTATCCTGTGTTCTCCGTGGCCAAACACACCTGGAAAAAGTGGGTTAACTTAGCACTTCTCAAACCATGCCCAAGGATAGGCAAGGTGGGAAGGTAAAAGGGCCTACAACAGAATGGACTCCTAAAAAATCAAATGTCTCAAATGCATGAATGAACGCAATTAGAATTGAAAAAGTTCTCTGGAGAAATTTTTGAAATCTTTGACTAGTCTGAGTCCTAACTGCAGTAAAATACATGGGGATGCTTATATTTAACATTTTAACACAAGTCAACAACATTTTGTTAAACACGTCTTAGGTGGGAGGGAAGGTGGTGGTTAGAAAGAGGGAAGGGCAGAATCTGGGGTCTCTGTGGGTCCTGTGGGCCACAGTGATGGACAGGGAAGCATTTCAGGCTTCCAATAGCCCTTGCAGCCCACTGTGCTGCAGGAGCTACGGGGTTTCAAGCTAACAGCCATGTTGACCATTGGGAATGAGGTTCCTGTCAGCCCCGAGGCCATTCTTCAAACAGTCTATGTCTTTGCCTTTGGGAGTCTCCTCTTCTTCCTCCTCTTCCTCTTCCTCTTCATCATCATCATCATCACTTCTCACATCCTGGGTACTCTAGATAAAGAAAAGAACGGGTTGTGAGTGACAGCCTTCCAGGAAGAGTCTTGAGTGAAAAAGCAAACAAATAGGCCCAGTTTAGAGGCATGGCTCCTGTTATAGAAAATCCAATAACCAAACAATCAAACATTCATTAAGATTAACTACATCATGGGTCATAAAACAAACCTTAACAAACTTAAAATAACTGAAATTATATAACGTACGTTTACAGACCATAATGGAATTAAGCTGAAAATCAATATAAAAAAGGTAAAAGGGAAACCTCAAAACACTTGGAAATCAACACACTTCTAAAAAATCAACAGGTCAAAAAGGAAGTCTTAAGGGGTATTAAAAATATTTTTAACTAAATGAAAATGAAAATACAACATACCAAGACTTGAAGGATGCAGGTAAAGTAGTGCTTAGAAGGAAATTTATACCATTATTTAGAAAAGAAGAAAGGTCTCAAATAATTTGAAATTCTACCTTAAGAATCTAAAAAAAATAAAACAATAAAATAAGCCCAAAGCAAGCAAAAGGAAGAAAATAATATAAAGAGCAGAAATCAATGAAATTGCATATAGAAAACAATTGAGAATAGCAAGGAATCACAAAAGCATGTTCTTTGAAAAAATCCATAAAACTCATAAGTCTAGTAAGATTGACAAAGACAAAAAAGAGGAAAGACACAAATTACCAGGAATGAAAGAGAGGCTACAACTACAGATACACCAGACCTTTTAAGTATAAAAATAGAATACTATGAACTACTCTATGCACATAAATTAGATGAAATGGACCAAGTCCCCAAAGACTACAAACTACCAAAATTCACCCAAGATGAAACAGATGACCTGAATAGTCATGTAACTATGAAAGAAAATGAATTTGTAGTTAAACATCTTCTAAAAAAGAACACCAGACCCAGATGGTTTCACTGGTAAATTCTACCAAACATTTAAAGAAGAAATAACACCAAATTTCTATAATCTCTCCCAGAAAGTAGAAGAGGAAAGAGAACTCCCCGATTTATTTTATGAGGCCAGCATTACCCTGGTTCCAAAACCAGACAAATACAGTACATGACAAGACAACTATGGACCAATATCTCTCATGAACATAGACACAAAAAATCCCCCCCAAAAAATTATAAGTCAAATACAGCAATGTATAAAAATAATAATACACCACAACCAAGCAGAATTTGTCCCAGTAATGCAAGGCTGGCACAATATTTGGAAACCAATAAATGTAATTCATCATACTAATAATCTAAAGAAGAAAAAACAGATGATTATTGTCAACTGATGCAGAAAAAATCATGTGACAAAATTCAATATCCATGCATGATAAAAATTTCTCAGCAAAAGAGGAATAGAAAAAAATTCTTCAACCTGTTACAGACTATCTATCAAAAAAACCTACAGCTAAATCATACTTAACCCTTCTGTGACCCAATTTTTTTTTCCTTTTAATTTTTTTGTTGATACTATGTGTTTTCAGTAATGGAAGGCATGCTAATCATTGAGTGTGCCTGAATTTTTGATAGGTAACATGGTTTTTGTTTTATGCCTCAACCCACAAATTGTACCCTTGCGGTCCAGAGGTACATATGTATGCTCCTTGTGAACACAAGTTATACACCCCAGAGTCCAGAGGTACACATGTGTACCAAATTAAAAAAAAAAAAATTTAAATTCATGTTTTTCCTGCCAAAATTCAATGATTTAGCACCACATTATACAATACCCTGTAAAAACAGTAATTTTTGGCACATGCCTGTTTTTTCCATTTCAAACCGTTATATAGGGCCCTCCATACTGGCAGTACATACTGTCAATGGGACAGTAGCTTCCCAATGAAGCCCAGAGATAAAAAAAAAAGTAAGTGGTAGCTATAGATACTGTTGGTCCATAACGGGTTAAATGTGAATACTGAATGTTTTCCTCCTAAGATCAGGAATAAGACAAGGATGTCCACTTTTACCACTCCTATTTAATATCATATTGGAAGTTTCAGCCAATGTAGTAAGGAAAGAAAAAGAAATAAAAGGCATACAGATTGGAAAGGAAGAAATAAAACTCTTCCTATTTGTAGGCAACATGATTATTTATGTAGAAAATCTCAAAGAATTTACCAAAATACTTCTAGAATTTGTGAGTTAAGCAAGGCTGTAGGATACAAGGTCAACACACAAAAATCACCAACAAATAAGCAAAACTTGATACCTAAACACTAGTATTGCTATTGTTGTTAGGTGCCGTCGAGTTGGTTCCAACTCACAGAGACCCTATGTACAAAAGAACAAAACACTGCCCGGTCCTGTTCCATCCTCACAGTCACTGCCATATTTGAGCCCATTGTTGCAGCCACTGTGGCAGTCCATCTCATTGAGGGTTTTCCTCTTTTTCACTGACCCTTTACTTTATCGAGCATGATGTCCTTCTCCAGGGACTGGTCTCTCCTGATAACATGTCCAAAGTATGTGAGACAAAGTCTCACTATCCTCACTTCTAAGGAGCATTCTGGCTGTACTTCTTCCAAGATAGATTTGTTTGTTCTTCTGGCAATCCATGCTATATTCAACATTCTTTGACAACACCATAATTCAAATGCATCAATTCTTCTTTGGTCTTCCTTATTCACTGTCCAGCTTTCGTATGCATATGAGGTGATTGAAAATACCATGGCTTGGGTCGGGCGCACCTTAGTCCTCAACACTAGTAGGGTAGGCTGAAAAATGTTCCCCTAAAATATCAGGTCCTAATTCCTGGCATCTGTGAATGTCACCTTACATGGTAAAGTTTTTGAAGATGTTATTAAGGATCTCGAGATTAAAAGATTATCCTGCATTATCTGAGTGGACCCTAAATTCCATCACAAGTGTCCTTAAAAGGGAGAGACAGAGATTTGTCATACAGAGAAGAGCTGACGTGAAGAGAGAGGCAGAAACTGGAGTATGCGGATATAAGCCAAGGAGTGCCATCAGCCACCACAAACTGGAAGAGGCAATGAATAGATTCTCTCCTAGAGCCTCCAGAAGTACTGTGCCCCTGCCGACAACTTGATTTCATCCCAGTGAAACTGCTATCAAGCAGTGGCATCCAGACCTGTGCAAGAATAAATTTCTGTTGTTTTAAGTCACCAGGTTTGTAGTGACTTATTACAGTTACTATAGGAAACTAGTACAACTAGCAATGTCCAATTAAAAACTGAACTTAAAAAAATCAGAAATATTTACAATAGTTCCAAAAAATGAAATACATATAAATCTCACAAAGTACGTACAGGATCTGTGTTAAAAACTATAAAATTCTGATTAAAAAAAAGTTAAAGGAGACCTAAATAATTGGAGAGACATATTATGTTCATGGATTGGAAGGCTCAAAAGAGTAAAAATGTTAATTCTCGCCAAACTGCTCTACCGATTTCACAAAATACCAACCAGAAGCCTGGCAGAACTTTTTGTAGACATAGAAGCTGATTCTAAAATTATTATAGAAGGGCAAAGGAATTAGAATAGCTAAGTCAATTTTAAAAAAGTAGAATAAAGTTGGAGGATTCACACCACTCAATTTTAAGACTTACTATAAAGTTACAGTAATCAAGATGAATCATATTAGCAAAGGAATGAACATGTAGCTCAGTGGAACAAAATAGAGAATCCAGAAATACGCCCACACAAATACGGCCAATTGAGTTTTGACAGAAGTGCAAATGCAATTCAATGGAAGAAGGATAGTCTTTTCAAAAAATGGTGTTGTAACAACTGGACATTCATAGGCAAAACAAAAAACAAAAAAACCTCACCTAAACTTCATACCATATACAAAAACCAACTAAAAATGGATCATAAATCTAAGTGTAAAATCTAAAACTATGAAACTTTTAGAAAAACAAAAACAGTAGAAAACCTATGACTTTGGGTTGGGCAATAAGTTCTTAGACATAGCATAAAAAGCATGACCCATAAAATAAAAACAAGTGATAAATAAACTAGACTTCATCAAAATTAGAAACTTTTTCTCTGTGAAAGGCATTATTCAGAGAATGTAGATAACTTAAGACTGGGAAAAAATAATTGCAAATCACATATCCCACTTGCGTGCAGAATAAAGAACACTTAAAACTCAACAATAAGGAAAACAAACTCAATTTAAAAATTGGCAAAAGACATAAACAGACACTTCACCAAAGAAGATATAGGATATCGAATAAGCTTATGAAAAGATGTTCAACATCATTAGCCATTAGGAAAATGCAAATTAAAACCATGATGAGATACAACTACAAACTTTTTCAAACCTGTTGCCTTCGAGTCGATTCTGACTCACAGAAACCCTATAGGGCAGAGTAGAACTGCCCCATAGGGTTTCCAAGGTTATAGTCTTTACGGAAGCAGACTGCCACTGTCTGCCACATCTTTCTCCCATGGAGTAGCTGGTGGGTTCAAACCACCCATCTTTTGGTTAGCAGCTGAGTGTTTATTCACTACACCATCAGGGCTCCTTACAAACCTATTAAGATGGCTAAAATTAAAAAATACTGACAATACTGAGTGTTGAGAAACATGCAGATTAACTGGAACTCTAGTGCGTTCTTGATAGTAATGCAATATAGCATAGACACTCTGGAAAATGATTTGGCAGTTACTTATGAAGTTAAATATACATTAAATATACATTGTCCCAGCAATCCTACCCCTGAGTACCTATTCTAGAGAAATGAACACTGATGTACACACAAAACCAAATGTTTACAGCAGTTCTATTCATAACTGCCAAACACTGGAAGCAACCCGAATGTTCTTCGACAATGAATAGATAGGCTGTGGTATATTCTACTTAACAACAAAGAGGAACAAATAATTGATACTTGTAACAATTTGGATGAATGTCAAAGACATTATGCCAAGTGAAAAAAAAATCAGTTTCAAAAGGTTACTTACTATATGAAGAAGTATTTCTTTTTAGAAAGCAAATGCTATGGTTTTCCCAGTAACACTTGCAAGT